AACACAAGACGAGGAAAAAAAATCTATTCTTTGCTTTTTTTTCTTCCTCTTTCACTCATCTGATTAATTAGTAACTTGTTGAATACATTCAATTCATCATAATCTTGTACAAATTCGTTTTCATTTTTTCTATCGAGTCAAGTGACATTTCTTTCATATTCATACACTCTCTCTCTATACATTTGCGTATATATGTATTAAAAACTGTTCAATCTGCGTCGTTCTGTTTCTCACTTTGATCACGCCAAACTGTTTAGAAGAAAAAAGTTGAAGAAAACATTAATTTGACGAAAATATACAAATTCATTTTCTTAATTAAGAATCCAATGAATACGATATGAAACGATACTGTAAATGATCAACTTTACCAATAATACTAAGAAAGATGATATTTTTCGAATGTATACAATGATATCCCGTCTTGTTTATCCTATAAGTTATTAGCTTAATTAAATGAACGTTAAGTAAAATAAACGAAATAATCATAATTCTCTTTTTCTTCGATTCAAAAAGCGACAGTCGATGGAATCGATCAAAGTCACAAATTAATAGATATTCTTAAATAAGTAAATGTTTCATTGTTTTTAAATGAGTGAGTGGACGGTGAATAAAAATTATCACGCGATTACCTTTTTAGTTAAAGAAAAGTTACGTTCTTTTTTTATCTTGATTGCAAAACAGCAGTTTTATATATATATATAAAACTTTTTAAGATAATAATACACTAACAGTACATGTCGCTTTTCTTTTTATCTATAAAAAAAAATAGAGATAAAATTTATGGAATCACGCAAAAACAAGGGAAAGGAACCACAAAATTATTTTTTAACAATTGTAAGTAATAATTACGTAGGTAACCTATACGAAACAGAGAGGGAGAGAGAGAGAGAGAGAAAGAGCACAATCCAAGTAATGAGTATGCAAAAGTCAAATTTGAACGTTTAGTTGTTTCTGAATGTGAGGGAGAAAATAAGCATATAATTATAATAGTTTTAGAATAGAGGCTAACTGTATTCGCTCTTGTACTAATTATTTCGACATATTTGTTATCAGCTATGTACGGGTGTAATTGTATATTTATTGTTGAACTTTTGATATGATTCTGTTTGAAGTATAAACCTACTAACATTCCATATTTGATTGATAGAAACACTATTAATCACGTACAACATGAGAACAAAAAAAATAATCATAAAGAATTATGCATAGAAATAAACAAACTGTCGAGAAGTTATCGTCAAATATAGAAATATTTTTATAAGATTGAAAAATTTTAGCTTGTAAATTTTTTAAATATGTTAAAGGAAAAAGACAGAATACAACAGAAACTTATACATCTATCTATATTCAAGTTTTGTGTTCCGTTTTATCAGTAATCAAGGAAAGTTTTTGTTCTAAAACTAATTTTTGCTTACATGATGATATAATTGTGGTCAAACATATACATCCGGTTAATGGAGTCGTTAAAAACATGGGTTTTACGCATTTACATATGATATTCTAAGATTTCAAATGATCTTGGAACTCTCTAACAAGATTTCGAAAGATCTGCTTCTTCTTTTTTTTTTATGTAAATTTTTATTCCAAGATATCCTAACATGGTGTAAATTTCATAAGAGTTTCTAAGAATTAAAGAGACAGATCTTTAAAAATTATCTTGTATGACACTATGGTATATAAAATTTTCTTTATTCTTCTCTTTATCAATGATTTTATAAGTCCCAACTCCTTACTGTGATGCTTACATTCTCATTATTCATAAACTTATTCATACTTCACTAATTAATTTATTAGAATAAATGTCACCCGTTCACTGGTATCCAAAATTTCGCATTCAACTGATGTTTCTACAATTAATATAAGTCTTAGAACTTCACAATGAGAACTATATTTATGATTTAAAAATCAAAAATCATTGTCGGCTCTTTGGCTTTATAGTTGGTCTATTTTTCTTTCTTTTTTTTTTCATTCATTTATTACAAATAATCTATGGGAAACATCTTTTTTTTCTCCTCTATACATCATTAGCATTCAACGGATTTTACTCGTGGAACGTTTTCTTCTTCATTATATGTAGATAGTAGACTGTAGGATCGTACAATAAGATATAATGTATTTATGGAACTTCTTTTTTCTTTTTGTGTGTGTGTGTGTGTGTGTGTATGTTGCATACAATTCATATGAGACAAAAAGATCGAGTACTATAGAGAATGTACACATGATGCATTCAAAAGGTCGCTGAGAACAATTACATACACTTGTTTTTTATTCATTAAATTTTGTCAAGAGTTTGCAGAGAGTCGTGAGTATATATGACAATATGTGTACACTATCATTTCTATGAGAGCTGTATGCTTTATTTTTAATGTATTTCAGTTGCTTTTCGAAAAACTGAAAGAGATGAAAGATTAAAAAAACCTTTTGATATAACAAACAACTAATATATGTATCAAATTGTCTTCTCATTCAGTCAACACGTTTATGTTGAAGATAAACTTGAATCTCATACATACTCTTCCATTCTTTTCAATTAATAAAATACGTTTATTTTTACTAAAACAAGTCTGTTTTATTTTTTTTATTGTCGGTATGAATTGATATTATTGTCTTTTACCGATATCATATCGTTTTGTTCATAACAGAATTTCAATGGTCAATCATTTGTCACTGGACAATCTCGGTATAATTCTCCCTCTACTCCCAGTCTTCCTCATTTCCTATATTATAAATATATATATAATAAAATTACTTGTTCTATGGATATGGAGATTAGAAGAAAATCAAAACGGAAGTCAAAAGATAAGAATTATGTTTACATTAAGCATATACACAATTATTTGAAGGAAATACTATTAGATAGATGAACTCACACTGTATGTTCAGTAATTAACAAATTTTTATCTGAACAAAAAACAGAGTAATTCAAAGATCAAAGAATGTTAATGATAGTTACATACATATAGACATAGAAAAATTGATGTAAGTCTATTTGTCATACTGTGTAGAAAATAATAATAAATGGTACGGTGTTCATATCATCGTAATAAAACAAAGAAAATTATAGAGAATATAGTTTATAGTTTTTTTTCCTTCAATTAAAACCAAAATAACAAACAAAATATTTCTTTCATAATTTTTCATAATTTTCAATATTGTATAGTATTTAGTCTACATTATTTAACTAATATAAATCTTGATAGAATTAAAAAGTTTCTCAAATTAGCACATATCTTAAAAATATTAATTAAAAATAGTCGTTGAGCAAAAATAATAGGAACTAATTCATACAAATCAGTGAATCAAATCTTATCACAGCATGCTCAAAATATTAAGAGTCATTATTTTACGTATATAGTTCACACATAACAAACAATTTTCACCATGTGAAAAAGGAAATGACTGTGAAAATAGTCAATGTCTTCTTGTTTATCACTTATTAATTATATTATAAGCTCTTATAATTTATGATTATTTATAAATTTTTTACAATATAATTATATTGTATAGAAAATTAAAACTATTGAACTTACCATGAGCTGCTGTTAGACAATAAATTGTTGGCTCTGACATTGGACTTTGATATTTTTCATTATCCATTATAGCCATGTTTAAACTTAGTGTATGACGAGGTTTGGGTTTTAAATTTAACAATGAACTGTCCAACATGTATTGTATAGAATTTTGATTTTTAATCACATTTGATGATGAAATGATAAATGTTTGAGCGAGATGATTTATCGTTTGTTCAGATAAATCAAAGTAGTATAATATATAATGTTCAACAATTAGTGACGATGGTATTGTCCATTTGAGCAATAATTTAGTGGTTGATAATGATGTTGATTCGAAAGCTGAAGATGGCGTAACATGTGAACATTGAAAATTTTCAACGGATGATGACAATGAACTGTAAAATGATGTGAAATTTACGATGTGAAATCCGCTTAATGTTGAACCTTTAGCATTAACACCTGCAACACGTAGAACAAGCGTTTTAGCCTTATTCGTTTTAAACGTGATATTCGTTAATACGTAAATAGAATAGGTGTAAACTGTAATATTTTGCCATTCATAAAAAGGTGTTGAGATGTCTGTTGTATAATAAATAATGTAACGCTAAATAGTAATAATAAGTATAGTGAATCAAAAGTAAAGATCTTTTAATATATCTACATACAAAATCTGGACCATTGGTGGAATTAACGGGTTTCCAATAGACAACAACTGCACTGCTGTTATAAGCATAACCATTAATCCATTCGATTTTACTAGGGACTAGAACAAGAATAGAAAATGTTAACTTTTGATTCTTTTTTTTTCGTGTTTTACATATGGTTGGATGAAGTTCATCGAGCTGACTACGCGAAAGTAGTTTTTAATTTTTTAAAAAATGATTTTGTCGGGAAAAAGTTAAAATTCGGAGGTAGACCAAAAATGGAAAAAACGCCTCATTTTTGAAAAATCCGCCAAATTTTCTCTAAATAGTTTTTGAAAGTCTAAAACTAATTTTTTTCAGATTTAGAATAAAAAGCTAAATCCAAAAATGTTGGTTAGATATTATTAAAAAAAACATTTTTGATCGAATTTTTTGAGCAGGAACTGGATTCTTAAAATGTCCATGGTCGAGTTCGTAAACCAATCTAGTTTTTTTGGTTTAGAGATGAAGCCTTTCTTTTTATGCCATACGAACTGTCACTCAACACCGATCCGCACGCTTCTTTTTATTTCTTACCGTCTTTGAGAAACGTCAATTTTATTAAAAAATAACCTTTTCATATTAAAACAGCGAACCGATTTTTCTCTCTTATCATTTTAGACTTAAATACAATAAAATTCTAGTGAAATAGGTTAAAAAGATCGTAAAATACAATGAAAATACTTTCGAGCACTCCACGTGCTGTTCAGGCAGTTTTCCAGAAACCCTGTTTTCTAGACAACCTTGCTTCTTTAAATAATTCCAACTGATAGAAAATTCAATTCTGAACAAAATGAGACTTCTCTTAGCATTCTTGGTCAAGTGCTAGCCGAAATATGCGTTTCTGGTTCATCCCTACTAAAATAAAGTTATTGTCCTGAGCCTCCACAATGCCAGATAACGCTCGGAGAGGTCTCATTTTGTTCAGAATTGAACTTTCTATCAGTTGGAATTGCTTAAAGAAGAAAGATTTTCTAGAAAACCGTCTGAACACCACGTAGAGAGCTCAATAGTATTTTCATTGAATTTTACGATGTTTTTTAGGGTTTTGTTGTATTTAAGTTTAAAATGATGAGTTTAGAAACTTTAAAAGTGCGATACAGTACTCCGCAAAGATAGCGACACCCCTGTAACTTAAGAACCATGATAGCTAGGGAATTCTAATTTTGTGTAATCATAGCCCTTACCGAATGCTGATCACTCACCAAGTTCGGGCCTCTTTTACTGGATGGTTCGAGAGATATAAGCGATTTATTTATTTTTCGTAAAATATCAGTAGCTTCTAACCCAAGAGAGATGAAAATTTTTTCTTTTTATTACAATGTAGCCACGACTGTGCTCTATCTGCGTTGTGAATTTCATGAGTTGGCTATTAGTAGTTAGTGAAATACAGCTATTTTACGGGTGAGGATTGCCTTTTTTGTTCAAAATTCGAGAACCGTTGCGAAAAAAATGTACACCTCAGTCTAGGAGCATAATTTTAACTTTAAATTCGCGCCAAAGACGCTACAGTGTCTGTAGATTATCTAGCTAAAGTATGAAGGTTAACTATTGTGTGGTTCTGTAAATTCATTCAGAACAAGCATCCACGATTGAAACATACGTAGAAGAGCGAGAACGAGGAACTAAGGGTCGCTCTTTCTACTATAGAATCTGCATGTACATCATAATCTTGAAAAAATAATCATAGAAATCTATGATTCCGAAAAACGCATGTGAAGGTTTTGTTAGAAAGATTACACACGCACCATTAACCCAGAGAGAAAATTATCAATAAACCTTTTTTGTTCGAAAATCGAATGTGTTGTTCGATCCAGTGTTATCTGGTGATCTGAAATATGTTATTAGTTTTGACTGAAAATATAAAACTAAAAAGATCGCAAAATAAGTGAAATGGCGAAGGACAGAGGTAAGTGTATAATCTTTC